GCTTGATCTCTAACCCCATCTTACTGAGATTAATTAAAAAAGCATTTAAGATCTGGTAATTTTACATTTTATTTCTCTTCCCCTTTTATTCAGGACTAGGATTGTTATAAAAAATTTACAAATAATCAGTTGATATTTGCAAGTATCTTGCATATATATGCACTTATTTTCAGCTGGAAGAATGTCTTGTTGAAAAGGCTGCCTGTTTTCACCAGAACTCCATTCTAATGTAAAGATCAAAGAGGAAGAGGCAAGCATTCAGTCTTTTCTGGGCTCTCTGACCTCTACCTCATGTCCCGGTCCCTGGTGTTTGAAACATGCCCATACATAATGAAGATGCCCCTGTGCTTGAAGCCCATTTGCAGTTTGAATGGCAACCAGCCGAACATGCTGCTTCATACAGACAACGTTTACACTAATGCCTGCACAGAACAAATGAGAACAATGCATGATTATGGGCATAATTAAAAGCAGGTAGTGAATTTTCCACTAACTCTTTCATCTGTCAGGCACTTTCAAAGAATTTCCAAAATGTACGTAGTACTGTCCATTTCAAAGTAGCCCCCAGATACATTAATTAAAGGAAGACCTTTAAGAAATAGGTGCCCAAGTTGCATTAGTTTGACTGCATTAAAAGTCAACAGTAGGTAGTTGCCCAGTTCCTTTACTAGTTTTGACAAGTAACTTCGTCTCGCATCCTTTTTGCTTGGGGGCTTTTATATATATATATATATATACACCTACTTTTTTGTATATAATACCTAGATATGTAGGAATGCTTCTATATCTATATACCAATCTCTTCCAGATACTTCTGAAATTACAAACAATTTGATAGAGTTTTGTGAATGTTTTGACCAAAAAGCACAATTATTGTACAAAGCACTATGAAAAGGCAATTCTGCTTTTATGGTATATACTAGCATTCAAGTGGAGAAGTACTTTGTTATGGGGAAAAATGCATGAAATTGAGCTGAGAGATTTTATTGAATATAATCCTCAAAGAAAAATAAAGCTGTAACATGTACTAAAACGAGATACCATTTGATAACTCAATTTAGTCTATGTATAGTTTAGCGAAGTATTACAAACAAGGTGATAAAATGCGTAGTGAACCACTGGAAAAAAAATTGCTAGTATAGAGCAGTAAGCTGAACATTTAATATACCCACTTCCAGCTACAAGGACACACAGTTTTTCTTATTGCCTTTGATGTATATTTGTTGGTATGTAGGTATATTTAAATTGTTTAAACATAAAGAAAAATGCTGAACATTTGCTTGTACCCATTGACTCTGCCCACTTGCTCTTGCAACAAAGAGCATTTCCCGTATTACCTCTCTTTGAATCTTACCTCTCTCCAAGGAGAAATATTTGCATCTGATTTTAGACCTCCTTTCTCTTAACCTCTGTCAGCGATACAATGTCCCTTCCTCTGCTGTTCCAATAGCAGCCCTCTGTACATGGTGAGGAACCTTCTTCTGTGCCTGTTTCAGACTGATTTCAGCCTCCTTGAACACTGCTTCAGCTTGATGTGCCGTTCTAGCTGAGGTCTCCCTGGTGTCTTGTACACTAACACCGTGTTCTTTGACTCTGCTGGTGCAGTCTTTGCCCAAAATATCCTATTAGTTGTTTGTCTTTCGCGCTGTTGTGTTAGATTAGAGCTGAATGGCTGGTTCATAGCTCCCTTGAGTAGTTTTGACTTGTTTTTAGTGTGTCTACAGCGTAGACATACGAATATAAGCTGACTGCCCTGAACTCCTCCAGTGGTCTCACTGGAGATTAAATTAATGGAATCTAAGGCATGACCCAAAACAAAACAAATAAATAAATAAATAAAACAAAAAACCCAAAAAAAACCCAAAAAAAAACCCAAAAAGCACCAACCACCTGTAAAAAAAAAAAAACCACCCACAAACTAGTATGTCAAGGATAGATTTAGATATTGCAGATATCCAAATCAAGAGAAATACAATTTAAGTTTTTGTGATTCAGATTACTTCCTAAGTTTTTTTTTTTATTTATGTCTTCACATTTTCATAACAGGCTAACATTACATCTTTTTATAATATCTTTAAAATAATATGCATTAAAAAAAATCTTGTGCTTCTGGAGGTGGTTTCTGCAATTTCATGTTCAGAAGATTCAGTTAACTGATTGTACAAAATAGGATACTGGGCCTTTTAGTTAAGGATTTCTGCTATCTTCTGAGTTACTGGAGAACAGTTAAAGTTACAAAAGTCAAATTCTCGCCAGTTTTTCTTGAATAGCACATGATTAATATCTTCTGCTTAGTCTAGGATGACTTTGTTTTGTCTTCACTTTTGAAATTCATCTTTGCAATTGTAGCTTACAAATGTTATTAAGGTATGCAACATGTTAAATCTAAGTTGAATAAAATTGCATATGAACCTTGTGTTTTCTCTTCTTGACAGTTAGGGAATTTATTTAGAAAGAGAGAATTCTTTTCATATGACATGCATGTAATCCATGTTTTATAGCAAATTACATAAAATCCTTAAGCACTTCAATGTGTTATACAATTTATATTATCAGCTTGTTCTTATCATAGTTCTAGAATTATGAGAAGCAAGATGTTTTTTTGCATATACTTTGCCACGCTTTAGTTAAGACGGGTGATTCTGTGGGAACTATAGGATAGTACCTATAGCATTTTGTTTTAAAGTTGCTGATTTCATCATGTAAAGTTGAAAGGAACTGAAATGAAGCTAGGAGATTTACACTATTGTATAAGTAGTAGGCTGTAAGAGCCCATCCCACTTCCACAGAATAATATTCCGAATAGCAGTGCCATTTATTTTAATAGTGCAGATCAGAACAGGGATGAGTGTCCAGTATAAAACCAGGTGAATCAAGCCAGGTCTAATGCATCCTTAAACTTATGACATTTTTGTGTGTTACGCAGGCATGCACACACAGACACCCCTCTGCGTGAGCAGGTTATCGGTTTGTCATTTCTTGTTTAAGGTAGTAAGTTCACTTTGGTTTAGTTTGTCAACTTTACATCTATTCATTAAGCTGTAGATAGTTTTAATGAGCCCCATGAAGGTTATTAGGAGCTGAAAGTGTATGCAGAATAAAGCAGTAAGAAATGATGCATAGGCTGTTTGCTTTCGTGACATCTTCAACAACATGAAGGTGTTGAAGATGCTTGTAAAATATTTTGAGATCCTTAGATTAAAGCTGACAACCTAAATTAAAGGATGTGGATTTTATATATGTGATGACATATATACACATACAGATATATATTCATAGACAAAGCCCTACACAAATTGAATATGTGACTGAGTTGTGAATATTCAGGCCAGTAATTATATACTATGGGGATAATGTTCTTGAGATGATACTTTGAACATATCCCAGTGGTCTAGAAGAAAAGTAGAATAGCTGAATTAGCATTATAACATCTCAATTTCAAGCTGCTCTTTTCTCTGCTACCCAAAGTATATCTCAGTGGTGAATGTCAGCGCTGTATGCAAAGTTTCTCAAAATGCCGGTGCAATGCAGTATGTTTCTGTACTGCAAAGAGCTATGCTTGAAGAAGTGCTCCTAGTCAGTCCCACAAAAATGAGTCAGGGTCCTTTCTCTTCTCTCTGTTACCTTCTCCTCACCTCCAAATCCATGTCCACGACTTAATCACTGCTACTCCAGTAGCAGAAGGGTAGTATCGTCTCCAGACAGTCTTTCACTTCATTCTGCTGCTGTTCTGAACCCTTTAAAGATTTCTGTACAAGTCACTGAGAGAACTTTCTTGATAAGATACACATTAATCACCCAGTAAGCTTATATATCTGAAGAAAAAGAGTTCCACCTTCCTTTTCTTCCTCTCCAAGGTCTAACAGTTGCATACAAAAATGACCTCAATTCAGGAACCTGCCTGGGTTGCAATTACAAGAGCCTTCTGCATGACTTGAGCTAGCTAATTAAAAATCTCATTAAAGTCTGAGCCATTGAAGCAAAAAGCCAATATATCATTTCTCTCTGCTTTACAGTTTATATATTTTCAGCATCTAATAGCCTTCATAGGGATCATTGCATTCATTCATAAGGCTGTAAGTAGTTATATTCTGGCCCATATTTCCAAAAATGTCCCTTACATTTGGCATAACTGCGATGTTCTGGACTCATAAAGCCCATCCAACAAAATCCACAGTGTACGTGCACATGTGGTTTCTGTTCGGCTAGTTAGCTAAGATGTAAAATTTTCCAGTTACTGAAGATAACTGCTTTTGTCTGTTTAGCCCCAGCTTCTGATGCATGTGATTGCAGGATTCTGCTCTCTGAATTGTAAAGCTGCTTATATTGTGTCAGGCTAGGAACATGGGGCTCTTCCTTGCCTATATTGCTCTTTGAGGGGCATCACTTCTTCCAAACATCTCAGCCCAAAAGCTGTTTTTCCATGGTCATGACAAGATATTGCATACTTGGAAATAGCTAACCCTGAGTTTTTATGTTTAACAGATAAAAGTTAAGCACATGTATATTCAAATATACCTTGTTTGGGTTTGTGTGTGTATATGTGGGAGGAAATGTAGTCCAGAGATGTGTATATAAATGCATCTCCATTGAAGAGTGTAATGACAGAACCAATTCCTGAGTTTTAGAGGCTAACTCAAGTTAAATAGTGGAAACTACTTGTTTTTTCCCGCTTTCACCTCCATGGACTTCTAGCCATATGTGCACACAGAATGGTTACACATTTGTAGTGAGAAAGGAATGTAATTCACTCTGAAAACAGCTGTAAATCTTCAGTTTAGGCTTATTAGTACTCCCCTAACCGTTCTGATGGACAACACTTCATTAATTTGCAGAGAGTAGTGACCTCCAAACTAAAGAAATACTGGTCTGATTTCAAGTATATCTTACTCTCCTTTTTATTTTTAATATGTTTCTGTGTTTAATGGATTAACAAGTGGATTGGAAGGTGTAGTGAAGCTGAAGCTATTTTTTAATTAAATATTTTCACTTCTTTTCAGTATACATCTGCTCTGACCTATGATGCTGTTCAAGTGATGACAGAAGCTTTCCGTAATTTGCGTAAACAGAGGATTGAGATCTCCAGAAGAGGAAATGCTGGAGATTGTCTTGCAAATCCAGCTGTACCCTGGGGTCATGGTGTAGAAATAGAAAGGGCATTGAAACAGGTAGCTTCCTAGAGAGAATGCTGTGATGAGTGCATGTGTGAAATTCTCTATAAATGCTTGACAAGAACCTTCCAGTCTCCGAAGCTGCCTGGATCTTACTGAGAATAATGTGAAAGAGAACTCCTCGGGAACGTGTCTCATACTAAGATAATATATTGTGTATGGAAAAGAGTCTAAACTGAATGCTTTTGAAGTACTAATAATCATTTATGGAAATACAAAATGCGTTTTCTAAAAAGAAACAAACTTAATTCTTCTACCACTTTCATCTTCATCTATATAGGTTCAGGTGGAAGGTCTAACAGGGAATATAAAGTTTGATCAAAATGGAAAGAGAATCAATTTTACAATAAACGTCATGGAACTCAAAAGTACTGGTCCTCGGAAGGTAATTTGAGTTGCCTTACAATGTCTTTAAAGGTTTTCCTATGCTAAGCAGTGAGCTGAGGTAGGTAATGAGACACTATAGATTAATTGAAGCATGAGTTGTGATAATATTGACTCACAGGAGTATTCTACAATGTTCTTGCAGAACAAAGTAAAAATATGTAATATGTCTTCCTAACAAATACAAGTTGTTATTTCTGGTAAGTACTATGTAAGACTATTTTCCTTTCAGTTTTGTGTATTAAACTTTTTTCTTTCTGATCTGAATTGCTGAATGTGAGCCAGTATTTGGGGGAATTTAGGCTTCTGAATGACAAATGCAGAATACAGGTTTTCGGTGATGTTTCTTTAAATGTGATTATCTTTCTGCTCTTATTCCAAACCTTTCAGGAAAAGCCAGTTCTTCATGTCTTCCTGATCTGGAGTATGTTATAACTCTTTCAGTCTTACAGTGTGTGATGTTGATACTAAAACCTGTTAAGATATAAATGAAAATGGTATACCTGTATTAGACAACTTAATGTGAACAAATGTTGTTAGTTCAGTCTTGTTACTATTTTGTTATAGTCTTTAAGTACATAAATAGAAATATTTGCACTGGTAAATCCATAGATAAAGTAGTTCTCTGTGTGCATAAATTGAGGTCATAGTAATAATGTGCTTTACCTTTTCTGTGAAAGTTCCTATTCACTGGTTTCTGTGCATCTTATAAACTCTCTTTAGATTGGATATTGGAGTGAAGTGGACAAAATGGTTGTGAATCCTCTTGATGGCCCTCTTGGAAATGAATCTTCAGGACTAGAGAATAAGACTATTATTGTCACCACTATTTTGGTAATTAACCTCATATTTTGTCAGAAGACCGTCTGTCCTGCAGTGGTTTGTTTTGCATCATTATGTTGGTTTAAATATGCTGTCTTTTTATTATTTGAAGTTGTGACCTGTTGCTCATTATGATACACAAATAAAATCTGGAAATGAAGGAAATGTATGTGATCAGTATGCGGTTTTGTTCTGTAGAAGACAAACGGTCATTGCTTGAACATCCTAGAAAGTTAAAATTTTTAGACCTGAAAACAGGAAGTAAATACCTGCTTTCAAAGGAGGGAACTTTGTCTCAGAGGCAGAAGCATAGTGTTAGTTTTAGAAAATGGATTTTGCCAAACAGCAAAGAAACTGGTTCATATAAATCAGAATTGTAACTGCAATGGATTGGTAAAGTGTAAAATAAAACATTAGAAGTTGTATTCTAGTTGTCTAGAAAATAATGTTGCATACTGTTACAGAACAGCATTTCTCTGTATAGTTACACAGCTGCTTTATCGGTGTGGACAAGTCACAGGCTAGCGAGGGAATTTCACTGGATGCAAGTTCAGTAACAACTGAGCAAAGAGAAGATGCATTGCTTTAATATGACTTATGTCTCATCACCAGTTTTGCTGATGATAGAACTTTACTGCATCGTTATAGATATCTCACCTGTTGTTTGTGTAGTAATTCAATAAAGATACAGCCTGGAGAGCCTGAAGCATTTTCTCAGGGAGGAATGTAGTTGTGAAATAGGAAACAATTTTCATGTATTAAGACAACAACAAAAGCAACTAAATAACTTTGCCTTTTTCCATCCAAACTGTATGAGAGAAAGAAAGTGATTTTGGAACTTACTCTTTCTTCTCTGAATGCGTAACTCCTGATAACATTCATGGTCATTATTAACATACTGCTGGGAATCACTGTACCTGTAAGTATTGTTATTTGTGTATGACTGTGGAGAATGCAGCTTTTAAATATGTTAAGGACATGTCACATGAATAATTAACAGCTAACATGTACATAGTATGTATGATTCTGATGTTGTCTTGTCTCTCTTTTTTTTTCCACATGTAAAAGGAAACATAGTAATCTATGAAGTGTGCAACTGATACATCTGTCTCTTTACCAAGTAGCTAAGACAAGTTCTTTCTGTGCAGGAGTCCCCATACGTCATGATGAAGAAAAATCATGAAATGCTTGAAGGAAATGATCGATATGAGGGCTATTGTGTGGACTTAGCTACAGAAATTGCTAAACACTGTGGATTCAAATATAAGCTCACAATTGTTGGGGATGGCAAGTATGGGGCAAGGGATGCAGACACGAAAATCTGGAATGGGATGGTTGGAGAACTTGTGTATGGGGTAAGAAAATCTTTTATAATAAAGCCATTAAAGGTGACTGATGGAGGGAGAGGGATTTGGTTTAGTTTTCTCTGTAGATGAAATTTATCTAATTCCTTTGATAAAGAATTAGTAACATATATAGGCTTGAAAAATTTTACAAGTAAAACATGGAATTAGATTTTAAATGCCAATGAAGTGGGGGGGAAGTGAGTATGTATTTCATCCTTCTGACCAGGTGAAAAGTAGTGTACTTTACTAAGATTTTTAAATGTTGTATATTTTTAAAAGGGCATGTGTAAAAAGGGAAGCTTGGAATATGCTCACCGTATAGTTAGATGTATTTCAGTAAGAAGAGTTTGAACTAAAAATATCTGGAATTCTCTGTAGGACATTCTTGGTGAAACGAATGTTGCTGGTGTCTCTGCTATACTATTTTCTATTTGTGAAATGCAATAGAAGCTAAACCATTCTTTGCTCTGATCATTGTATTAGCTATTATTTGCTTTTTTCTTCCTTTACAGAAGGCTGATATTGCAATTGCTCCATTAACTATAACATTGGTGAGAGAAGAGGTGATTGACTTCTCAAAGCCCTTTATGAGCCTGGGGATATCAATAATGATCAAGAAGCCTCAGAAGTCCAAGCCAGGAGTGTTCTCATTTCTTGATCCATTAGCATATGAAATCTGGATGTGCATTGTTTTTGCCTACATTGGGGTCAGTGTAGTTTTATTCCTGGTCAGCAGATTTAGCCCATACGAGTGGCACACTGAGGAATTTGAAGATGGAAGAGAAACGCAAACTAATGAATCAACTAATGAATTTGGGATATTTAATAGTCTCTGGTTTTCCCTGGGTGCCTTTATGCAGCAAGGATGCGATATTTCGCCAAGGTTGGTTATTCGCCCATTTCAACTTTGTGCATTTTTGGTCTCAGCCATCTCAGCCGGAGGAGGTTCATGGTGCATATATTTTCACTCCCAGAAAGAAATTAATCGTTATGTTATTTTCCTCCCTAAAATCACAAAAGTCCTTGAAATTAAAGCAGTGGTATGTGACATAGGGTCATGATGTGTTTGGTCGATACTGTCTTAACGTCGATCATACATTTGCCAAGTGAAGTTATATACACCATGCAGAGACTGTAAAATGCATAAGGTTCAAGTCATTCCATGCCTTCTTGGAGGGGTACCGTGTTTTTGCTGCATATTCCCATTTTACAGTTGACGGTGCATATAGTTCACAACAACTGTAATGGGAAAAAAGGGTAACATACTAGTCACGAGCTACACAGGCAGCTCTTCCCTCTAAAACACTCTATATACCATCACGCTGTTATTAACCCACTGTTTTTCTACAGGAGAGCCTTGCACTGAAATAAAAGTAATGGGATGGCTCTGAAAGGCTGAGAGAGTTGGGGTTGTTCAGGAAAAGAGAAGGCTCCAGGGAGATCTTATAGCAGCTTTTCATACCTGAAGGAGGCCTATAGGAAAGATGGGGAAAATCTTTTTAGCAAGGCCTGTTGCGATAGGACAAGGAGTAATGGCTTTAAACTAAGGGAGGGTAGATTCAGACTATTTCAGAAATTTTATACCATGAGGGTTGTGAAACACTGGAACAGGTTGCCCAGAGAGGTAGTGGAGGCCCCGTCCCTGGAAACATTCAAGGCCATGTTGGACGGGGCTCTGAGCAACCTGGTCTAGTTGAAGTCATCCTTGCTAACTGCAGGGGGGTTGGGGTAGATGACCTCTAAAGGTCCTTTCGAACCCAAAGCATTCTATGATTCTAACAGTTGCAAAACACTGCTGTTTTTGCATGGCCTAGTTTTAGAAAAGTCACAAAGGAAATTGCTAAAATGAACTTGAAGGTCCAGTTTAAAAATGCTTAATTCCTCATGGATTTTCACCTACTTAATTAGGGACATCTGTAAAGGACTTGAGTTAATTCCTTTGCAGCTCATTAAATATTCTATTTCCCTGTGCACAAGTGGTTCTAGCCTTGATTTGGCAAAGTAGTAAGTAGATAGGTAAATAACTACTTGCTGCTTGAAGGAACTATAGTAGCAAGTGAAATAGGGCAACTGGGTTTAAAAAAATCAAATCAGAAGGCTTACCTAATTGTACTAAGCAATTTAACTTTCTTCTAAACACCCTAAAGTAAGATGGGAACAGGTCAATTTCCAGTGAGACTAGTGGCTAGTGTGCAAAATAAATCACACCAAGGGAGCATTTCTTAGATATAAGTCATGCATCCCAAAAGGCAACAGTAGGTTTTCAAGTTGTTCTACTGCAGAAATAGAAGAACATTTATTGTGTGAAAACTTCTGCAATTCTGTGTAAAGGCTAGCATATCACAGTGAGATATGCCAGCCTTTGCGATGAAAGATACGATAGATTTGGTATAGAACACCATAAAAACTGGATACAAGAAATAAGACAGTGAAGAGGGAGCCAATCATTTCAGGTCGTGAGAAGCTGTGGTAATTTCAGTCCTTTGGGGTGTTTGTATTGATTACACACTTCACAGCTTTAGTTGTCTGCAAAGTCCTCTATTAGATACAAAATTATTTTTATTGAATCAAGGCCATGGTAGAATAATGATCTTTTGTTTTATTATTTTTTTGCTGGCTATTGAAGCATGACAGTTGTGCACGATTTGATAACTTCTGAAGGGTGATATAAGAATAATGATAGTAAATGGTCATCATAAAAGGTGTGTGAGACTAATCATTGTGGACGTTCAAGATTTAGTTTCAGCGAGGTGTTTAACAGCACTTTATTTCATTACAAACGTGTTTTTGAGGGAACTTGTTAGTTTGTTTATTTACTGTTTATTATAAAAATAGAAAAGGGCTGAAAACACCTCAGTTATTTTTCTTTTCTTGCACCAAAACCATCACTATGGAATTTGAACTCCCTGCAACTTAATTAGATCAGATATGAAAAGGAATCTCTTCAGACATTAACAAAAATGTCATTGTGAAGTTACATTTTGCACTATTGCTACTATCATTAGTCTAATAAAAGTGACAGCCACTGTAAGGATTGTAGAGTAGACAAGTAACTAGGGCTTCTTGACTGTGAAATAGAAGGTGGTGCTGAGTAAGACTGGACCACCTGGAAAATGGTCTGCAGTAGCAATCCTCATGTTGCTATCTAGCACAGAACAATAGAATAGAATAATGATATGATAATGATAACTTAGCAAAGGCTTCCTCATCTTTTTTGAGAAGTGAGTGTGCTCTCAGTACTGCCGTATAATACCTTTGTAAGTATAAAGTGTGGTGCACAAATTTGGGTAATTGTGCACAGAAATTGTTATTTGAATATTTAATGATCTGATGAATGAGGTGCCTGTACAATTGTGAGTTCATACTAGCATATAATTATAAATCTTTAGAAAATTTTCAAAATGTACATTAAAAAAGAAACTATTTAACTGGGACAGACCTTATGGGAAAATATTGAATCCAAATGACACTCAAAAAAATTTTACTTATAAAATCATGTGGGAGCATAATGTCTTGATTAACGTTGAGCTTATTCTTTTTCTTTACAAAAACAGTAGCATCTTTGCTGACAAATCATGGGCTTTTAAAGATTTTTATCATTTATAGCGGATGTCATCAATACAATATAAAGTGCCATACAAACAGCAGTTAGTAAATACACATTGTCAGAGATTTTACCTTGGAAATAAATATTTATCATGTAATTTAATTTTTTAATTGTAGAATTATTTTGTACTCAGATTACCTCCATATCAAAATAAGCATAAGTATTTTTTCAAAGGCAGCAGAAAGCACGTTTGCAGAGTACATCTCAGTTTAGAAGGAACTTGAAATAATTTCTTTTCTATGGTCCTTTTTAAACATATTCTGGACCTTATCTTACTTGATTTTCATGTAGTAGAGTGAAGTAGCGAGTCGGTTATGGAATAAGTCTTTTCATGTCTGAATTATCACAGAATTTTTTTTACAGCAGCAGTTAGTAAAAGTAATTGATCCTAAATTGGTTCTGTTTATTTTTGTTCCCAGTTTAGTAAGTCAGCTTTACATAACTATCATGTTTTAATGTGTTTGTGTATATATATATAGTTAAATCTATCTATATAAATATATTTTCAGAATTAGTTTGAAATCTCATTCACAATGCAGTAAGATGGGTAAGTGATTTCTAATTTGTTTACTTATAGATAAAGGAGACACATCAAGACATACCTAAGCTACTGCAATGACTTAGTACTAGACTTTCAGCTACATGCACTTTTCTGCCAAATAATTAATCACATCTCCAAACATTAGGTACTCCTTCCTATAATGTCTTGTTTGGAAGCAAAGTAGTAAGTAATTTTGAAATGTAGAGGATCATTTTTAAAAAAAAGTCAAGTGTGACAGTAATGGCAATATCAATAATTCTCTTCTGTTTTCTAGTATTGAAAATCATTGAATTTATCTAGTTGTGTGCTCTATGCTGTTCTAAATATTTTCTTGAGTTCTCTTTTCTTCTCTCTTCTTGAGCAGGAGATGCAAAACAAAGATCCATAAGAGCCCACCGGCTGCCGTTAAAAACATCAGATTATTATTATTTAAAAATATACTTTCTTCACCATTCTTCTGTGTTATCACTGATTGTTTCATGTCCAGTCCTCAGTTTGTTAAATGCTTGTATCTTTGAAAAGTTGTGTGCACTTTTTAGTTTATGGATATTCCCTGGGCCAGTTTTTATTGCAAATAATGCTGTTCATTTCTCAGTATAGAATGTCCACAGCAGCGTAAGCCAGTGTTTCGTGGAAGTCAGTCTTTGTCTGAATGTCTTGGGAAAATAAGCAAGCTAAAAGCACTTCATTTTTAAGTGCATACTGGTTTGTTTGAAAGCACGGTTTCACTGAGTTCCTTTGATTCCCTCTCCGTAGTGTCACACAGATTCACTGCAGAGGGAACAACACGCTTATGTGTTAAATACAGCACATTATGATGGGAGCAGTTTCCTTTCAGGGTGTTCAGAACGTTGAAGAACTAGATCACTGAATTCTCCCTAAAGTAAACTCTGGAGTCGTGATTTCAGCGAAGTCCAGGAGATGTAGCGGAGTACGCCTTGATTTCCCATCTGATTAGTATGCAGAGCTGCACTGTGAGATAGCCTGAAATGCTTCCCTATAGTATAATGCATCATTTTCAGAAAACTGATAACATGTGTTCCTTTTTAGGACTTTCATTTCACTTTACAAATCCATGTCATACTTGTTATTAGATCCCTGTCTGGGCGCATTGTTGGAGGTGTGTGGTGGTTCTTTACCCTCATCATAATCTCATCCTACACGGCTAACTTAGCTGCCTTCCTGACGGTTGAGAGGATGGTGTCTCCCATTGAAAGTGCAGAGGATCTTTCCAAGCAAACAGAAATTGCTTATGGGACATTAGATTCTGGCTCCACTAAAGAGTTTTTTAGGGTAAGAATTTCTACTTTTTAGATTTCTGGTTTGTTTTAAACAGTTCTTCACTCATGTAAATGTGTTTTCCCTAGGCTTTATTAAATGGTTGCTGTAAAGATATGATATGTGCAGCCTAACTCACAAGTATAAATGTTTTTATTTATTGATTATCCTTACATTTTTATATCTATATATAAATATAAGGGTCGTGTTATAAATATGCAAAGCAAAAGTGGCTGCAAGGAATTACCTGAAAAATACTCCTCTGTACAGTAACTACAAGATATGTTCAGAAAAGGGAGTTGATGTTGTTGATCTAAGCTATAAGGAGCTAACAATTATACACAAGGCTATTTATTTTAGGCAGTCAAGTAGTGAATAGGGACATGGGAAGGTGCACAGTCATGTTTTAATAAACATTTCACATGATTTTTCGAGTTTGCAAGTGGGGAATGGGATACAACCCTGTTGGCTGCTGTAGTAAATCCATGCCTGCTTTTGAAAACAGTTACTATTTGTATTTGCATTACAGTAATGTCTTGGAAGCGTGTCAGTCCTCACCTTCTACCGCTGTGTATTTCAGTTTTAAAAATCCATGAGATTTCCAATGTGTGAGTCTCAGACTGCCCTTGAGACACCAGCTAGCATGGTGAAATCCATCCAGCAAACGAGTGAGACACTAAGGCTGCTGCAAAAACCACCGTGACTGTTTTGCCTTGTCTGTGTGCTCTGTGTGTCTCCATGTAAGATAGAAGTGGATCTGAAGTGCTACAAATACGAAAAAACTGTTGTTTTCATCATGTTCAATGCATAATGATAGTGTCAGGTTTAAATAAAATGTATATTAAAATAGTTATAAATACTACATTTTCCATGAAAGTGAAATGAAACAAGTTCTCTCAAATATTTTTCATGTACTGTATAGTTAGAGCAGTAACTGCTAGATTATGGTTTTCACTGGATCCTGTAATGCATACTTAACTGGTAACGTGCTAAATAGGAACCATAATTGTTTCATCTGTAGAAAAGCATCATTTTCTGATTTCGATGATAGGTCCAGTAATAAGACCTGCTGCTGATTGCATTCCTATTGGCTAAACCAAAACTAACATCAGATGTGTAAGCTAGCAGAAATGAGATTGAGTTTGTGCTGAGTGTTTGGAAGCGTTTAGAAGGATACAAGCACGTATTTCTGGTTTGTGAGCATAAACCCTGTACATCTTGATTGTACTGAGGATTGAATGTGAACTAACAGTAGGTCAGTTCTTTAGAACAGTTTCTCTTTAGAGATATTTAGGATTTCTTTTAACACAAAAACATTGGTAGGTGCATGAATTGGTATATAGTTTTTTTGCTCCTAGCACATATATACGTGTTTCCAAATACACTTTTACACAACTAGTGTTTCTGGTGATACCTGAGCGTTAATAACTTATTTTTGTGAAAATCAGGTGGAAGGTTTGTGCGGGCATATTCTTCACCTTTTTTTAAGTTAGCTTTGGCTCTGCACAGACAAGGATATAATGATCTCTGGGAATTTCTTCTCAGCAATTTCTGTCACAAAGAAGTTGGTGCATTATGTGTAATGCAACTTCTTCGCGTGACGGCTCTATCTACCATTTGCTAAAAATCACTTTAACTTGCCAAGTTATTTCTCAGGAAATAACAGCTGTCAGAATTTCTTTCTAGGAGACCTGAAACTCAAGTTTCAAGAATGAAACTCTCTCTGCTGCAGGCAATGTGAAAGCAGCCTCTAAGTTGCCTAAAATTCCACCCAGTGTATTTCTGTATGGTGACTGGATTGGAGTGGATGCGTGATTTTTGTATGACCTGAAATTAGGACTGAAATTATTTGAACAGCTGGAAACAGCTTCAGTATTTTTCTGGCAACAAGCTAAAATGGACTGGCTTTTACTCTGTCACTGTCATGAATTAAGCATTTGGGGGTTTTTTCACAGTCTGTTTTCTCTTCAAGAAGTGGCATTATTTGCAGGTTTGTTTTCTATTGATGGAATGTATACTGGACCTAAATCTTCACTAGTAGAACCTTGATTCCTGGAACAGCACAAAAATAGGGATTGTTATATACTGGAGATGAGAACAGTAAACTGAATTTTCTTTGCTACTAAAGCATGTTTTCTGAAAATACTTTACACAAGTGTAAAAGAGATGTTTCTCAGTATTTTCCAAAAAGGAATTCTCAGTAGTAAGCTAGGTGATGAAAGTTAGCTGAAATATCCGGTCCTGAATAGCAGAATATATGTATGCAATGTTAATTGAAAGAGGTGGGTTCAAGTCTTTGTCCAGCTTCTGTGACTGCTTAAATGACATGAACTTGTTGCGATGTTACATTAGCTTGGGTATGTCAGGAATGTCACATTAGCTTGCTCTCCATTTTGTTTTAGGATTCTGGTGTTTCAGCCACCTACGGTAGGTACACACTAGTTCATGTCTTCAGTGGCTGTGACTGGCTCCAGTGGCTACCATGGTGAACAGAGAAATTCAGATATGGGTTAGAAAAACCCAGGTGGATGAGAGGTACTGGTTCACCACACACCCTGCAGTCAGTATAGGAGTAGACGTACAAGCTAGTCCATATCATTTGACTTGGAGATAACAGCCTTGGCGCTCATGGCAAAAGATGTATTGCCTTTGCACTTTACCCTATTTTCAGTACACGGTCCCTAGCTGTAAAGGTATTACAGACTAGCAGGAGATACTCTAGCCAACAGTGAGTAGAGCATCAGTTGGCACTGAGTCAAGAAACCATAGCTGAGAAAAAGGGATGAAAAGGCATTGTACTCTAGTGTTCCTAGTGCTGCCTTAAGATGAGAAGCAGAAGCTTGGTGCATCCTGCGTAGAAAATATCAGTGCAGAAACGAATACTGTTAAATTCATTTGAAAAGAAAAAAAAAAAACAGATAATGACAGAGCTTTGGTGAGCAGTAAACATCAGGAGGAAACTATTACTTCTTAGTAATAATGTCATAGATAGACATTTTTTCTTCAGTGGAAGATCCGTCAGGTCCTTCCATTGTATATTTGCAAATACCACAATGTGTAGTAGTTTCCTTCAGGAGATCTCAAAGTTGCTACTGGCAGAACTTCAAGTACCATCCAAATCTTGAGAGATTCCAGTGAGTTGAGACACTTACCACTTCTGATACTTATTAGCACCTCTGTCTTAGGGCTTTTAGAGTTCTTAATGCAACTGAAAGCCTAAACAAAGATATACAGTGCGTTGCTGTTGCGTTTTCTCTTGGGTTTGCAACCTAAAGTAATGGGCAAAACATTGAAGAAAATGTGTGTGGCTATGGTTTTCCAGGAGTGCATTGTTCTTCTCAGATGGGTAGTGGATTGTAGTGGTGAGAATGTGAATAGGACTGCAAGCACAGCTTGGAAGATCCAAGAGTCTCTTCAGTTGATCCTGTGCAGGCGCATCATCTCTGTAATTGTCAAATCACAGATACTGCTTGCTTGATGGAGTGGTAAATGGTGAGGCAGTGGAATTTGATCACTCTGGTACGTACTATTGACGCTATCCACAGTCACACAGTATTTTTACCTGCAGTGGTTTCTCAGCAGCTGCTGTAAATGCCGTTGATGTATGCATTAGCCAAGACACATAGATGAACTTTGAAGGGAAAAAAAAAAAAAGTCATTAACCCAAGAGGGCACACTACTGGTAACCTAACACTGCAGAAATTAATTCTGAAGCATTGTCTGAATGTGTTAACTCCTGAGGTTGCCTTGCTTGCTTTCATGGACTACAGCACTGGAAGAAACAAAGTACAACTGTGTAAGTATGCAGACTTAACATTCACTGGCACGTTTCTGTGCCTTCCACCTGCTTGAAGGCATGCTGAAAATTAACATCAAAGTGGTCCAAAGAGAACAAAAGCTAATTACTTTGAAAATTCAATCATGTTTTTGCTGTATGCCTAGCTCTGTTCATCAAAAATATGTACAAACCTGATAGACAAATGAAATCAATCATGCTACCTGTTTTTCCACTTCAAAAGATGAATTGTGACTAGTACCATGTGTAAGGTAAGAAGGCATCTCCAAAAGAAAAAATGACGTGCAGAGTGATAATTAGACTAGTTTACATTCTCTCTGTCTGCATTAGTTTTTATTTGAAATACTTTTTTATGTACCTGGTTTTGAACCAGCAGCATGATATGGACAGACCAATCTGTTTCATTCTAGCTCTCACTTCATTCTAGCTTTCACTGAAAAGACTATGCAAGAGTTGCTTGTTCTTGCTTAAGAGGCACGAGTTCCAGAATGAAGAGTTTGGCGTGGGAAAAATGCCAGAAGGGTGATAATCCTTGCTGTCTGATAAAGAATTCCTCTTCTGTAGTGAAAAGCTAGCAACAAATGTAAGAAGAGCTGACAAGACCACTTGAATCATTTCTCCTGCAAAAGTGTTGTCTGTTGGGAGGCGGAGAAAATTTGGCCTGAAGATTAGTAGTATTGTCTTTTTTGAGGATCTTCAACACGGTCTAGTGCCTCTAGATTTATGAGTATTTTGAAATATTTTTTTAAACTTATAAAGGTGTTTAAATTGATGATTGTATTACAAGAGGTTATGCAAAAACAGGGAAAGCACACAGCAGTCTGTCTGTGAACCTCAGTCTGTCTTTATGCTCATGAAGATACTCAAGCTCTTAAAAAAAAACAACAGGCAATCTCTAAAGCCAGTGAGAAAAGAATAAACACTGATTTATTTTTTTTTAATGGAATTGGGGTAAAAAAATATTAATCGTAGCTCAGCCTCAATTTCTGAAGTTTTGAGATATAGAAAAATGATAGAAAATATATTTCCAGAGTTAAATTTTTACTAGCTTCTCAGAAGCCTTTTAGAGGCAAAGGAGACAAAAGACTCAGTTTAGAAATCTTCTGTAACTTTTACCGTGGACTCGCCTAAGTACCTTAAGAGGCAGGGGCTACAGGACTGGCATTTCATGAATCTGTGAAGGATACTGTTAGAGAGTATAGTTTGGCTTTTTCGCTTC